CCCATTTACACAAGTATTAACTGAGTCAAAACAGAAATCTGTTGACTTCAAAAGGAGGAAGATTTCACTTCAGCTGCTTGAGATTGTTTCCCAGTGATGCTTACAAGCTCTGTCACATACAGGTGCCAATGTTTTCTCTGATAATACAGCAAAAGCTAAGACAAATTTTACATTTAAGAAAATTTACTCCATATTTTTCTATCATATTTCAAGCACTAAGTACATAGCTAGTGTTGTAATTAAGCAAGTAATATGGATACTAGCACACAGGTTGTACAGTGTCCATTAAGATCAGAACATTTTAGTCTCTGAATACCTGTAGCTTGAAGCAGCCTACAGTCAATCCATGCTACCACATAAAAATAGCATGAACTGCCACATTAAACCAGTCTTAAAATAAAGGCATAGCAGAAATGGACAAAACAGATAATGAAATCAACGTATATATCAACACTGCATTAGTATGCCAAAAGCCAGTAATGAACTGTATTTTTATTTCACAGCTTTGCCACTACATCATCACTGCTTCCTCAGAGAGCAGAGGAAGACTTCTCCCCTGACTAGTATTAAGCAGACATCATAGTTTAACCTTCATAAACTAAAAAACTTATATGTCAGACACAAGCAAGGAGAAGTACTTGTACAAACTCACTCTTATCTTACCTCCATCCAAGGCAGGAGTGGTATCCTTTACAGCTCACGTTGGAAGGCTTGTTAAAGGAAGCAGGGTCACTTGGCTGCAGCAGTGGGCTGGTAATGGAGCTCAGCTGCATGCTCTCAGAGCTGAGAGGGAGCTGCCCACCTGAGGAAGATGCTGACTTATCTCTGTGGGCTTGCACTTGATGCAGATGCTCAGATCAGTGAAATTCAGTGAGGTAGAAGCAGATGGAAAAAAGTCATCTTCTTCAGTGTTGTTGTATTTTGTACCCATACTGCTATAAAATATCTATGCAAGAGGGAAGGCTGGCAGAGAAAAGAGTACTTACGGGTATTTCTCAGGTTTCCATAGCCTCATCAGTGACTGTGTTGATGTGCTGTAGCCTTGTGTATTTTAGCAATGTCATGACTTGCTTCCCAGAAGAGGAAGTTAAATTGCTCTCAGTTGGTTCATTGGCCAGAACTGTACAGCCTATTCTGTTGTACTTTCTAAGCAGGAGTGTTTGAGTGAAAACAAGAGGCGAGAAGTTAAAAGTAAGAAAAATAAAAGACATATAACAGGCAAGAAAAAACTTTCACATTCCCCTAAACTCCTACAATCACTGAAATGCCAGGAGGCCTTTTTATTAATAGCAAACATTATGAAATGAAAGAGGACATTAACAAAATGTTATTTTTTTTTTAAGTTCTCCTTCCTAACTTTCTGCACCAGGGCAAGAACTTTATGTGCGCTCTGGCATCCAGAATCTTACCAAATATTTTCTTTGTATATGCTGAGACTTCATCTGTACTTTTTAGCTTAGCTGCAAGAATGCTTGTACAGTTAAACTGGAAAAGGGAAATGAATCAAAATAGAGTTAAATGGTTTGCCTTACTCCATTGTAAGCAATTAGTTTGTGGTTAAGAAGAATGCAGATTACAACTGGGAGGGAAAAAAAAAAAAGGCAAACACCCTCCCTTTCCCAAATATTAAAATAAATTCTTGGACAAAGAAATAACTTTAATTTATTGTGCACGTTATTTATCAAATGCTGTCTATCCACATTGTCCTTGTACTCTCTAGAAAGCCTCATATTTTAAAGCCCGAGCCCTGAAATGGGATCTGCTTTGAAGAACCCTCTGCTAACTTCCAGCCACAGCAGGTCCCTCTGCAGACACAGAGCATTGTGTTATAGACAGGGAACCCAGCTGACAAAATTGCACCAGGTAGCTACTAATAAAGTCAATGCAAGCACCAGGGGAAACTGCCAAACTGCTTTGAGAATAGTCCTTTGGACCAAAACCCATCAGCAGCGTAGTTTCTTTGTTTACTAATTTCATTCACTGTGCCAAGATTGAGTTTGTTTATTTCTCTGAGAAATGGGGTTGCACTTCTAAAGCAGACAAAAACACAGCAAGCAGACATCCCGCTTTTCAACCATTACGTTACTGGTGCTGGACAAGCAGGACAATGAAATACACACCTGTATCTAAACTGGGGGTTTAAATTCTGTTATCTGAGAAGTAAAAGGAAGTTCCCCCTGGAGTAACTCTGTAACCTGAAGTGCTTGTTGAAAGTGGCTTTAAAACCTGAGCAGGACTGTTGACCAGATTAGCATCACTATGTGACAGTCCAGATTTGGAACTAAATGCTGCACTCACGAATGCAGGGTCTGTTGCTGATTTTATTAGTAGCAGTATTTTTTTTACAAGATAAGATAAAAATGAGTACCACTTGTGGAAAACAGAGAAGCCGGTGTCTGTAACACTGCCACATGGGGGACGCGATGGCAGGTGGGAAGTGACTGTGCCTAGGGCTCTGTTAAAGACCAACAGCGCGCTAATAAAAGCACAATATTTGACAGTGCTGGTCCTTTAACCTATGGTAAGAGCTTTCTATAGTGCAGGCCAGCCTTCAGTCTCAAGTGTTCTACTCAGCACAATCAAGTATAAGCAATTTGCTTTATTGAAATGCGTCCTTAGTTCTTAAATATGTGTCTTTAGTTCTTAAATAACTCTGAAGTCACAGTAATCTCATGTGCCTTTATGAGGAGCTGCCATCAGTGTGGGCCACCATGAATTTCTTCCTGCATATTCCTCAGCTGCAGACCCCAGCACAGCATTTGTTCTCAGACACATCAAACTCCACTTAACCCTCTATTTCCAAGCTCATGTTTCAATTTTATCACCTCTCAAACCTCGTGCTTAAAAAAAACACAGATACCCAGTCTAAAACTTACCTATTAGGGACCCATTTAACTTTAAAATCCACTTCAGATACTTCCTGCTTAAGGGTAGTGGTTGTTTTTTCCATACAAATCCTGGTGCCCTTCCATTCCATCCTCTAAAAGAACTGCATCCCTCAGGCCTCTCTCAGATCCCACTGACTTCATTAACACCTGATTAACAATGGGATGATCAGTAAATGTGATACTAGTATGATCTCAGTTTCATCCAGAAAAAAATAAAGCTAGAAAGGAAAAAGAATTCCTTTGGGAGAAAAGCTAAATATGGTGACATTTTTCTTTGAAAATGTAGCATTCAGATATAGAAGATGAATGCATTTTGGGGAATTTTTTCATTTTGTTACCTAATGTGAACAGAAGTGACTAAAGGCAGAAAAGCCAAGCAAACTGGATGAATAACCAAGAGAGAAACATAGAAAAACAGAACAAATGGAGCTAGAATGGCTGCAAAACGCACATTTTGAAGTGAATACTGTAACATATCAATGGAAGGAGTACCATTCCCTGACATAAATAAATAAACAAATAAATAAATAATGGCACTAATGTAAAGCTTACAGAAGTGCAAGTGTTGCCTTTACCTGCAGGATTCAGTGGCTTTTTGGGTAGCAAAAGGTAGGAAATATATATCCTTTGCAGCCACTGAGTCAATACTAGTATGAGACTTGTCCTTGAGGGATTCCTACCTGTAGTGACTGCTCACCTGTGCCTTGTTACCATAATCCAGCACGTTTATCCTGTGTTACCAAAGTCATCCAACTTAAGGGATCACAGATGTTTTTGGATGGAGGAGGGATCGTCTCCAGGAAAATCTAAATTTCAATTATTAGGCTTACTATATAATCAAACAACAGCTTTTTTCTTGTTGGACTTTATAATAGAGCATTTGCATCTTCAAGAATCGCAACAACAAACTCTATGTATGGAATGAGGCAGGAGCTTGTACAGCTTTGAAACCTTGCTGCTGCCTCTCAGTGTGCAGATTGAAACTGCTGGGGGCAGCAGGAGGGAAACCTTGAAGAGCTCAGCACTAGGAAACTAAAGGAAACAGGAGAGCATTTCCACAGGGATTGAGCTTTTAGCTTCCCTGTGAGAAGCCTAAGAGAGATCTGCTTTCTGCAGGTTTTGGCCTCTTTGATTTTCCCCCTCATTCCCCAGTTTCTTTCAGTGTATTATCAGATTCCCAAGGGGACTATAAACAGTAGAAGTCTGACAGACACCTAAGGAAGAGACCCAACATTCACTGCCTAAGTACTGCACCCTGCAGTTTGCACTGATGTATAAATGAGTCTGAGAAAAAAAGTCTTCGTTACCCGTTCTGAGGCCCTGAACCACTATAGTATCAGGAGTGATGCAATGTGTATCCTGCTCTTGGCCACTTAAAACGGGGTTGCTCTAGCTGCTTCTGAGAAGTGTGTTTCCCATTAAGCAGCTCTATACAAGTTTCTGAGTCAGTGAAGGTGACACGTGGAAAAACGAAGAAATAAGAAAATTTAGAAAAGATGAGATCCAGACACTTAATATCTTAAAGAGATCTACACAATGGAAATAACTGCGTTTTAAATTACTCTTTTTTTTTTTTTCTTAGCATTACCATTCTTGTCAATGGAAAAAAATTCTCTCCATTTACAATTGCCGTGGTCAAAATCAGCAGCATTCAGAAAGCAAATGTTTTCAATGATAATCTAACAAAAATAATGTCTGGCTCTCTGGTGAGTTATTTGTTTGAATTGTATGCTTGCTCTAACTCAGACTGTGAACTTCTAAGGAACGCTATACATCAGAAGTACTTGCAACCATGACAAAGTGGGACCCTTTTTTTATCTGGGACAAAATTCTTCCATGCTGTCCTGTTCTTCTAGTGCTCCTATCAGAGCAGACGCAGAGCATGTCACAAATGCCCTTCTTCCAATGGCTCCCTTATAGATTTTAACCTCTCACTCTGTAACATCAGCAATTCCTTCTCCTGGAGAATAACAACAAAAAATAAGTGTGTGCTAACTGAATTCAGTTCAAGTCGCAGCCTGCCTCTTCTGTCTCTAACTCTGTTTTCTCCCTTAAAATGACAAGAAAAAAGAAACAATATATAATCTAATATTTTTTTTAATTTTCTGTACAGGAATATAACGTTATGGCAATTTTGTACATGAAATACATACAGTATTTAAATGCAAAAATCAGCTAGGTAAGAATTTACATTAGCAATGAAACTGAATCATGTGCAGCTCAGTTAATATTTAGTTTAGATCTGTATTTAAATGGGGAAAGATTTTAATAGTTTACAATCATAGAAACATAAACATTTAAAACAAGACTCTATAAAATAATTTACAGAAACTCTACCATCTACACTCAGAGAAAGGGTGTATTCCTGTTTGTTTTGCGTGTGAGTAATAAGGAGGATGAATGATTTATCTCAGCCTTTTAAGTATAAAATAATTTAGAAGCAGTTCATGCAATGTGGAAGCGAAGGAGTGTCAGTTCCTGCAAGGTTTACTGCTGCCTCAGACATCTACTGAGCATCGAATGTGGTTCACCAGACACATGATAGTACAGCTGTCAGATGCTGCCAAAGAGCACCGGCCTCAGTTCCTCCAAACAATCACTTATGTAAACATAAATATACAAGTTGATATCTTTTCTACACAGTACAAATACAGGCCACAACTTCTCAGCTGTGCAAGTAGTCAAACTGTATACTGGGAAGTAGGATAATGTTCAGAGTGGAGTTCCATATATCTCTATTTACAGGTGCACTAACAGAACTTCCTCGTTTTCACCAATTTGCTCTGGTATTTGACAGAGTGCCCTCCGTGCCCAATGACGTACACGTCCAGCAAGTAGGACTTGCCAGACTGCAGGCCCCGGATTGTCTCTGTGGTAACTGCTTTCTGTATATTCTGGCTGTGAAAGTATTTACAGAGAACCTTTTCTGATTTCTTCCTTGTATCTGGACCCAAGCACTGGTTCTGTTCTCTTTTCTTCTGCTCCTCATTGTAGTTGTCATCCACCTCCTTCTTGTAGATGCAGAATTTGTTTCTCTCCTGTGTGCCGAGCCATGCCACTGTGACTGAAGAACACGTGCGGAGTTTGTCAAAAGCTTTGATTCTCGTATCTTCAGGAAGAGAAGGAAATAACTGCTTGTTTGGCCTTGTTGTTGCCAGAATCTTCAGCATAGAAGCACCTTTTTTGTTCCCTTTCAGCCTGATTAGATATTTAGCTTTTGCTTTCCCTCGCAGCTGGAACTGCCGTACTCCTTCCACGTTTTGAGATAAGAGTAGCTTGCCATCTCTTCTAACTTGGATCTGAACAGCATCTAGGCACGAATGAACAGAAAAGGTGACCTTCTGATGAGATGAAACTGGAGCAAACCGCAGAAATTTGGCTCCCTTCCTCTTGATGAACACATCTGTAACTTTGCCATCCTTCAGCTCAACTGTTTTCTGCTTGGCCTCCTCCTTCGTTCTGGCAAAGGTGCCAACATACGCGGTGCTCAGGTTCGTGTTAGTGTTTACTGCAAACATGTCAAAGTAGTACTGTGTGTCAGGCTTCAGGTCAGACACCGTGAAGATGTTCTTGTTCCCAACACAAACTTTATGCAGGTCAACTCTTGGCTTTGAGGATGTTTGGCGCCCAAATTTTGATGGTGATTTTAGGAAACCACGTTCTTTGCCAGCATTGTTGTCTGAGGGGAAGCCAAAATGGGCAAAGTCAAATGGACTGAAATCCAGACCTGGTTTTGGAGCCATCATGAAGGCATCATCAGAGCTAAGCTTGGCTTCAACAGCACAGAGGCTTTTGAAATTGTGCTCTTTATTGATGACTATGCAATACTGAATTGGCTGTTTCAGCAATGAGGCCGTGGGACTTGGCTTCCATGCCAGCGTTACTGTCGTACGTCCCAAAGAAGTAACATCAATTCTTGGATCATAAGGTAATTCGGGGTAAGGTTGGTCGGATTCTGGAGTAGTAGTTGCATACACTTTAAAATGTGTATCCTTCTCTGTTGACAGCAAATCTAGTTGGTACAAACCAGAAGGAGAACTAGAGGACACAAAATACTCAACATCGTTGCCTTTGTAAGAGAACAGCTCTGTGCCTTCTTCATTAGTAATCTGCTGTTTCTGTTGCTCGAGAGGTTCAGGTTCACCTAAATTATAAGCAAAGAAAAACATTTGTACATACATGATCCAAGAGTATGAGAAAAGAAAACTACACTTCCACATAAAATGCAAATGTGAGATGAAAAAAGAAAGGTTTTACCTTCTTAGGAAGGTATTACCAATAGCTCTGTCAAATAAAGCAGGGTGTGGCACTCAGGTTAACAAAGGCAACAGGAACCACACCTAACCAGTGTTACCAGAGTCTTGCAGATGGCAGCTATACTCTCCACCAGTCTATGCCATACTGCTCCCAGAGAAACTGACTCTGCTCCCTGTTTTCGGGCTTGCGTCCTCACACTTGGCCCTATGAGTCACTCTAAAGCTGCCTGCCTAAATACAATGAGGTCCAAACGTGACTATCCCCCAGTCCAGCATAGATGACACCTGGAACTTGTGTGAGAATCTCTGGGAATCAGAGACTGTTCCTCTCCTGAGCAGGAACTATATTGCTGTCTCCAAATAAGTTCCTTGTCAATAGATGGGCTCACAAAGGGGCCACAGGAAGACAAATCTTGCCTCTCCTATTCACTTCAGGTTTTGTTTTCACTTTTTACATCTCTTTTCCTTCTTATATTGCTACTTACTGCCACTTTTGTGCACTAAGGCAGGACTAGGGCTGAAGATCCAAAGGTCATAGCAGTGGACCTGCTGAGACTCAGCACTGTGTTGACATTGGCTTGAGGAGCTTCGAATCCAGGAGAAAGGAGAAAGCTGGAGGGGTAAGGAAAGCCTTGGATGGGTTGTTACCTGAACCTTCTCCACTGGCTTCCTCTGGGAGCTCCTGTACACTCAGTTTCCACTCCAGGGGAGCATCACAGGGTGTCACTGTTACTGCTAGGGGTGTGTTGTCCTCTTCCACCACAAAAAAGTACCTAGAGGAAGGTTAACAGACCCTCAGCATCAATAAATTCTATTGGCACCAACCATCAGGGACTGACTTTACATTATTATGGTTGACCGTGCTGGGGCAGCAGAGACAAAAATGTAACTTACAGGCAATAAGAGGAAATGCCGGAAGGCTAGTTGGCATGAGTTAAGGAGATGAGGGGCTAAAACCCCCAGCTGCACAGTGCTGCCAAGACATCATAGCACAGGAGTTTTTGGCCACCTGCCCTCCCCTCTATCAGCTTCACCTTTTGCCCCTACACTAATCACAGACAGTATAAATGGTCACAAAATTGTCACAAAAGTACAAATGAGGGAAACAGGGCCTTTTCCTGGGATTTAAATTTATGCTCTTCAAAGCAGGACATGCTTTTCAGTGTGTCCAGATGAAGGCCCTAGAAGCACATACATACACATACTCATGGAGGATGGTGGCAATGCTGCTTTTCCCTAAATTCTTTGACTCAGTTCCTTCTCCTACCTAACCTCAGTATTTTCTGACCCTAGGGTTGAGGCTGGGAAGTGGACGATCAGGCCAGACTGGCTTGAGCTGCTTCTTTAAAGCACACTATGAAATAAAAAAGAGAAATAAGTATGGTGGTGTCAGCCTGTAGTTTTTCCTTCCCCTCCCTTTTCCTGAAGACATGGTTAGTGACCCTGCTTCAGGGAACTTCTGTGCTCTGCGGGGGCTCTGGCATTGTAGCAGAAATCACACAAACTGCATGGACCTTCAGCTGGGAAGCCAGACTCGGATGGAGATCGCATAGTTATTTCACCAGACAAAGTGCTGGCATTTGCATTTCTCTTACTCAGATCCAGCTTTGATTCAAAACAACAAATAAAGCTGCTGTTTTCCAAGACCAATGTCATCACTTAATCTGGGCAGAAATACCTTTTAGGTGTGTCTCGAAAGAGGTAGCTGCTAATTTCGGCTCCATCTGGGATGACTGACGAATCATGAAAAAATGCCTTGTCCCGAATCTGCATCTGGAAGAGCTCCTCATCTCTGGTAGGCAGCTTCTGCATCCTGGAGCTGAGTGGCAGCAGCAGCAAGAGCAGCGGGCATTGGAGCAGGAGCATCCTGCAGGAATGACAGGGATTCCAGATTGGCGAGGACTGAGCCATGCACACAACAGGAGCTGCTCAAGAGACTGCAGCAAGGCACAAACGGGGTCTAGTAGTGACCTATTTGTTCACAAACTCAGCAAGTTACCAACTCATGTAGATCCTACATATTGATTTAAGGCTGCCAAGGAGCTTAGTACAGCCTTCTGTACTTAGTTGCAGAAGGCAACTAAGAGAAATGGTTTTGAAAGGCTTATTCTGCCACCGAAGCTCACGCATATATACAATGATATTGCATGCCCTTTATGTTTTATAGGAACCTTCACAGTATCACCACGCAACCACTGGGAATATGTGTTGTTAGGACCAAGCTTGCACTGTCAGAACATTTGGATGAAGTATGTAAATAAGATGTTTTCATCTCAAGCTGTAATTGAAAGCAAGCCCACACGGTGGTTCGAAATTGCTATATCTCCCTCCCTTTAACAAATTGCAAAAGCTTGCACATCTTTTGGTAGAGCTACAGTTTGGTGTTCTGCCATTAGGAGAGCTTGCTGGATGTGGGATCAGAGCAGATGGAGGGTACAGCAAGCTCACTTTGCTCAGCAGAGTTTGGTTGGGCTTCCAACAAGTTTTTGAAAAGTAAATATTTCCAGTGAAATTGCTGTTTATCAAAATAGTGAATTAGGAAAATATGTGATATAAGCCCACATATATTTGAAGCACATTGGTATTAAGATGCAATTCAGCAGGCCTTAATCCTCAAGCCTGATGAGAACTGCAAAACACAAAAGCAGTGAATCCTTTACAAATTAGGCATAATAATTCATAATCTCAGCCTTTCATTATTATGTCTACAACTAGGTCAGTAATGACTACGCTAACATATACAGCAGGATGGACTGCAAATCTCCTCTCAGTACAGCAGATGATCTCACACATAATGGCTCTGGTATAGGGTGGGGGGAAATGCAGCCCATTTCTGGTATGAGTATAGTGGGTTTAAACCACTAGATGATTACATTCCTAAAATTAGGAAAAAGAGTGTTAGGCCATTACCTAAGCCGTGTTAGCCACCAGCTTTGGGGAAAAGCACAGTAAAAACACTAAGCTGAAGGGAACAGTTTTATTGTACTTTTCTTCTTACTTCTTCAAATGTGAGGGCATGCCCTGGTCCTTACACTGCAGGATAAGCTGATTACTGCTTCATAACAAACTCTTTCTTTTTACACTTAACATTAAATCTGTCAGGCTGTTGATTTTTCTTTCCCTCACCATGACCCTTCTCCAGGCTTTTACATAAAAACAGTAAATACAGGGCTCTCTGAGAAGTGGCATGATGTAGTTTAAGCCATAATAAAATCACTCTTCCCTTTCAAGCTCTTAACAAAAATATAAGCATATGTCCCCAAGGGAAGCATCAGTGTCCACCTCCTTCTCCCTCCTGCGGTTACCTTCTGAAAACCCAAAAAGAGCTGCAGCGCCATTATTTATTCAGTGATAACCTCACAACAGCAATGGAGGGCCCCAGGGCAGGGAGGCTCCGTGGCAGCAATTCCCCATTTGCAGGGTGTGTAATGCTTCATCTTCATCATGCACAGGTTTTAAATTGCTATTTTGTTATTATTTGAGTGCTTGCTTCAGTGTACCTGGCTTTACCTAGGATATGGAGCTGCAATTTGCAATCCAGTCATGAGCTGGCTCTCCCAGGGTTTGTCAAAATTTATCCCAACCAGATCCTTGCCTAGGTTTTGACAACAGCAGACACATTTTCTTGAATTCAGACCCAAGTGTTGATGCTTATCATCACAGCTAATGACATTTGGCCTTTGGGAGCAAAGATCCTAACTCAAAATACTAGCTGATTTGAGCCACCCAGGTCAGCAGAAATCCCTTCTCTCAGGACGCAGGATGAGCTCTGTGTGCTATGCCGTGCTGTTTATTGACTTTTCACGTATTATCGTTGGCCAACAGTGAAGAAATTCTTTTTAACTTAATCATACAGCTACAGCAGATTATTTGGTAAGGTAAGAAACACGGACACTTTCTACAGACAGCGTCCTCTGCGTGAACCCCCTGAAACTGCAGTATCATGTATTCTTATAACCCACCCCACTGCAGTGCAACCATTACCAAAATAAACTACTTTTGATTATGGGACTACCCAGGCTAAGCTTTAGTTCTTAAATAATTTCACTAGCTAATCCACTTTAAAAACTTTAGTAGACAGCATTTCTGTCCCCATGAACTACTGTGGTGTAGTAGAAAGGTAGGGATTTGTCTGTGATTTCTGTGTCTAATTGGAAAATCATTTCAGCTTAAAAATAACAAGAGACAGCAAGGTTAGTTCTATACTCCCTACTCAGGCCAGCACCAGCCCATTTTATACATGAAATAGCTTGCAAAGCTGTTAACTGTTAATAAAAGATAAATGTTTTACAAGCTTCATTACTTCACAAGAAAATGGGGTTTTGAGTGCCTTCATTTTCACATATCCAACCTTACAGGCCTAAAACAGGCCCAGTTTTTACGCATGACACTTTTAAAAGTGGAACATCTAAGTAGCAAAGAGGCACCAAAAATTCACTAGCAGTTTTGGAAAAACCTTTAGTCAGCCTCACACTACTTCTTCACATGAGTTAATAAACAGATTTTCTTTCTTTTTTTCTTTCTTTTTTTCACTGCATTGGTTGATTTGGCACAATTTTGAAGTTAAAATCCCTACAGTTCACTTATACCAAACACCAGGAGAAAAGCAAAAAGAATTTGTCACTCCATGTTTCCTCCTGGACAAGCTCCCCCCTGAGCTCACTCTCATGGTGCCCCCCCAGATTTGCACGCTTTGCCTGTGGGCACATGTACAAGTGCTCTCCCATCCCTCTCCCACAAATGTTTCTGCTTTCTTGATGCCTTGCAGCCCAAGCCTGTTTTATTTTCTAACCGCATGCACAGGATGAGGCCAGAACCCTGCCCTCCAACACCACACGAATGATGTGAAGTATGCGTTGTGATTTTCATTCTCCAGACCGTGCCACTTTCCACATGCCTTTTGTGCCCTTTTCCGTAAGTTCGCCTTCTTTTCTTTTCAACTCAGAATCAATATTTTATTGATATATTCCCGCTGACTGAAGGGATTTGCTTGCTGTTTATCACTGAATTTAAGAGCGAGCCAAAGCAAACAGTCCTAAGTGAAATAATAAGCGTCTCTTGCCTTCTCCAGAGTGCACAACTGCCCTCTGACTGCCTGTCCTTCCCGCTGGCCCCCTCCCCAGCCCCAGCCACCAGCCAAAGGTGACAGCCACAGGCACACATGGTCACACAAAAGGATCAGGAGAGCAGAAGCACAGGCAGTGAGCTGGGAGTGGGATGTGATGGCCTCAAGTGCTTCAGCCTTGCCAGAGGTGAGCTTTTTCTTTAAGTACAAATAAATCAAGACAGCAGTCTGGCCATTTTATAAACTTGAGCTGCAAGCACATAGATGAAAATCATTATACTGGATCAGAGATTTCACAGCAATTCCCATTTCCTCCTTCCTTCTGAACACATCACATTCAAGCAGCAAGGCTTCCCAGCCGTCCCCACATCCCATTCACTCACTCTCTGCATGGTCCCTAAGACATCTGCACACTTAACTCCATCTGTATAAAGAACTGTGAATATCTAGGGAGAATGCAACCATAAGCCAGAACAGAGAGAGATCATCATGGCCCCCACTACATGGCCTTTACCACTGTCTGCACATCACAGGAACCCAAGAAGAATTTGCATTAACAAAACAAAACAAGAGATCTGGGTTTATTTGAAGCAAACACATCTGGAATAAATGAAACCTAATGTTTAATTAAAAAGAGTGGAAAATGCACGACTGCAATTTAGTAAGGACCATTTCAAGGCACCATCTGCCACAGTACCTTTGTGTTGCATTTCTTTTTCTTATATGGTTGGTTAACTTTTTTTCTTCCTTATGCCCTGTTTTTAAATTCTGGGTGGTTTTTTTGTTGTTGTCGTTTGCATTACCCACACTGTATCTCATAATAAGTCTGCAGCTTTATTGACTTGATTCAGGTCTAGCTTTGAAAATGAAAGTGCACTGCCAGACTTCTCTGACTTATTATAGGAACACTGCAAGTTTGTGAGCTTTGTCATTATAGCCTTCATTTCCAGCAATAAGCAACACAAATGTATGTGCCTTGGCATGTAGAGTTATCACCACAGACACAAAGCAATTTAAAAGCACCTACCAATTTCAATTGTAATATAATTAATCATATTTAATGTGCAAAAGATAAACAGCATTGCCTTTGAAATTTTAAGTGCGTTAATTTTACTGGAAGTGGGTCAGTTTGTTTTATCAAACAGAGACCCGAGGGGAGCAGCGAAGGCACTGCATTTAATACTCAGGATTCCCTGAAGGATCTGGAAAACGTTTGGTATGCCTTTCATTTGTTGGGTTTTTTTTTGTTTTTTTTTTTTTGTTTTGTTTTGTTTTTTGTTTTGTTTTTTTTTGTCTGTTTGTTTTTCTTTAGAAAGAACAAGCTGCGATCTGGCAGGCCCAGTGCTGGCTGCAGCCTTGTGCCTGCAGACCTCACCTAGGGGGCTAAGCCCACTGCCCATCCTGAGAGGAAATATCCATGCCCCATTGTGCCTTTTATCCCTCAGCATGCAAAGACATGGCGTGATGATGCCTCTGAAGCTGTTAGGGCCCAGCCTGTTGATAACCTGGGGGTTTGCTGACCACCCCTTGCAATCCCAATTCAATCCACAGTTCCCCTTCACTTGAAGTATTGTGGCAGTAAAGCAAATGGCAGTAGCATGGGAAACTGTTCAGCTCTGCAGAAATAGGGCTGTATGAAGAAGTTAAGGATACGTTTCCACCAACTCTTAATGAACAACAGTGGTGACGAATCACATCTTGTGGGAGAGGTTAACTTCGAAGGGGGAATACTGTGAAACGTGGAGCTGTCTCAAATTAGACATGTTGAAAAGCAAACATACTAGGGGAGATATGGTATCAAAAATCAAATTTTACATGGAATATTCTGTTTCCAAACTGAGCCATATTTATTTTTCCACTTTTAGTGGAAACAGATTTGAGCTTGAAATCTCTGTCATGCAGCCCATGGAAGCAGGATGCTTCAAAAACCCAGCAGGGCCAGGAGATCCTGTCTGGGGAGAGGCCTGGCAGTTCCCCTCCTCCTGCCAGCCACTGCCCACTAAACAGCTCTTCTCTCCTTCACAGCCACTTCCCTCCACACAATCCATGGGTGAGCGTCAAGAACAAAATACAAGTCCTAGAGACCTCTGGCACAACATCCAGTTGTTCTCTAGTGGCTGAGGCCTGCTGGCTGTGGCCTGCCGTCTGCCTGCTCCCACACAACTCTTGCTTCCCCTCATAGCTCTAGTACCAGCAGGCCTTGTGGCTGGCACTACTCCTGTTCAACCTCCCCAGCCCTCCCAATGTGCCCATGTGGCTGAATGTCCTCCAGTGGGACCACACATGTCTCTCTCATAGAATGACACCACTACAGCAAGTGTATTCAACACGAAACACCAATATTAGGCCCCCGACTCAAAGCCAAACTCAGAGAATTTTTCTATCATCTCAGCTGGTTTTGAGCCCTACTAGGAGTAATCAGATGGGGCAGAGAAACTTGAGTTTGTATGACTCCAGCCCACTGAAGATAACTGACTCTGAACGCTACCTAGCTCTACAACAAATCTTTCATCACAAGATCCTGAGGTGTTTTGTAATGGAGAGCAATTACTATCCCCTTATTACAAGCAATAAAAGTGGGGCACTGAATTCCTTGTTCGAGGAAATCCCAATCTAATCCTTCCCTTTAATCACAACACAATAGCCACTTCCCGAGGCCAAGTCCCTCTGCCTGCAGCAGGGCTCTGTGCGTGGGTGCTGCTGCCGCCCCGTAATGGATTTCAGCAAGAGGATTAGCGGGGAGGAGCGCACTCACACAATTACAGATGACAACCAACGCAAGCACATTGCCGTTTGGTACCATGTTTCCCACTGCTTCCCTATAATAGCTCCAAATGACATTACAAGCTGCAGCTCCTGCCAAAATCCACATGGGACAAGGATGACTGGAGCGTCAGGGGAGGACGCTGGAATTGTTTGTGTGCTCTTTTCTTTCTGCTTTTTGGTAGATGAAAATCACTTATTGCTTTGCAGTTCCTTTCACTAGAAACACAGTTTCTTCAGCATCGAGAAGAACAGCACACGCGTACACACGGTTACTAGCCACAGCCAGCTTTCATGCCAGCTTCCTGACCACTATAAATACAGTTTTCCTGTGAGTTCTCCTCAGAAACCCTCATTTTCAGGTACATCATGTACTACTTCTTACTGACTGCGGTTCTCAGCTAACAACTGCCTACAGATACCTGAGGCGGCACAAAAAGTTGCAGAAGCTTCCCAAACACCCAGTGCAGCTGTGAGCGCACAGCTGGACAGCTGCTGTGATGTTCAAGCCCAGCAGGCTACCATGATCATCTGTAGTGCTGGCAGACACCTTGGAGTGATGGCACGGCAAAAGCAACTCTGTAGTTGCGGTGACATAGATCATGCTGAACCCCTAAGATTTCCAGCTCCTTAAATAACATCAGAATCCAAGCTTTCCAGTGGGATTTACTGGCCAAAATTGAATTCCTTTTTAATATCATCTGCTTTAAAGGCAAGCAAAGAGAACCATATAAATCCTGAATGCCGCACCATTCAGATGCTCTCACAAGGACTTGCTACATAGCACATCAACACTCACATTCTGTGTCCAATTTTCCCTAGCTGGAGAAAGCTTGCTGCAAACTTGTAAACATTTGTATAATGTTTGAAAATGGAAAGTATGAAATGTAGTGTTATGGGGATGGATATTGATGTATTGACGTATTTCTACAATGACGCGACATGGGAGCTGGCAGACCTCACGCATGGCTACATGGGCACAGCTTCATCAGCTCTGCTGACTTCTTTCAGGGGCTGATGTTTATTTCATTAGGATCTCGCTTTAAAAAATTAAAAAAAAAAGAAAAAGAAAGAAAGAAAAAGAAAAGGCAGGTTCCTATAGATGGCAGCTCAGTGAACTTGTGAAAGTTGCTGGTCCAGGAAGCCAACAGGTCTGAGTCACCCAACTCAACTACCTGCAGTCACTTTTGCTGTCAATTGAACAATGCCAGAGAAAACCTGAACTTTGCTTCCCCTATGTGTCCAACCTTCATACAGTGTCCATTAGGTGAGGTTAATTCTTCCCAGAGAGAAGCAGGAAGATACCAGCCCTGATTTCCCCATTCTCTCATCAATTACTGGGACAAATGTGAGCAGCAAAGGCACCCGATGCTCAGGAGGAAGCGGGGCCCCTCAGGAAGAAGAGCAGACATATACCACAGCATGGCTCATAATCATCATTTAGCACTTCCAAGGGCTAAGGACCCATGGGACAGAGATGGCTCTCCATCATCATGGGCTCTGGCTCCCAGAGATCCCTGCACCCTGCTTCATTACCACCATGGCCCCACCTGGGTCAGCTGCAGAGCCGTGATGCAGGGATTTGGGAATAGCTTGCTGATAGGCATGCCTCAGCCCCACGTCCCAGCTCAGCAGAGGCTGTTTGTGCAGCCGGCAGGCCAAAGGCTAGCCCTTCATCCCACTGCCGCCCAGGGAGCACGTGGCAGGCCAGGCTGCCACGGGTGAGCAGACGTCCAAACAGACCCTGGCCCTCAGACCCTCTTGGGGTCAGTGTCCCTCCTCGCCTGGCGGGAAAGAATAGGAGAAAGAAGGAACAGAATGCATCTGGAATTACAATGCTAATTGTAGACATTTTCTTATAGCCCTGCAAATGCTTTTTCTTAAGTGAGTGAGGATGGGAGCCTGCACCATGAATTAAGGCAGCACGGCTCCCACCTTGTGCCTGCAGCCCTGCTCTGTGTGCCTGCAAGGAGTGTCTGCATCCTGCTTTAAAATATTTATTCTTATTCAGTTCAAACTGTAAGTTAGAGGACTTCAACTCGAGCTCTGCTTTGTTCACATGGTGTGAAACGATTTTAGAAACTGCTTTTTTTTTTTCACAGGATGTATTATGTCAACAATTGTGTTCTAATGGTCTTAAAAAGTTTTAATGGACTGACATTAAATCTTCCCTACAAAATGGTAACTCTACTACACCCTAGGACTGTTTACGTTTTAAATGATTATTCTTCATTACTGAAAAAATCAAGCAGAGAAAGCCCCTGGGGTCTTCCCCAAAGAAGGAGACCCTAATAGCCCTACAAATCATATTCAAGTTAAGTATTACTCAGGGTGCAAAGCTCACAGAGAACTGACTGCAGCTATAGCAGCATGAGGAGCAGCAGGAACGCTGCTTCCCGTGCACCGTAAGAGCAGGCAGCAGGCAAGACATCACTCTACTCAATTCTGTAATCCAAACCCGCAATTCTCATCACCCGGCTCTGTGGCAGGAGAAGTGCTTTGGCACTTACATGGATAGAAGTGAGGAAGCTGCAAAGTATCATTCTTTTCACCCTAGTAAAGTTACAACCCCTCTAACACTACCCTTCCTTCCAAAAAAAAAAAAAAAAAAAAAGCTAGGTACCAATGCACTTCACTTAATTAAGTGCACAATGCTCTTTCCCTGTAAGTTGCAGAAGAAGCGCAGCTCTCGTGGTGTGTGTGGGTGCTCAGGGGTCATATCCAAACTCATATCCAAACCCACAGAGTAGGGAAATACGTGGGAAGGAGAAATTATTGCTTCTCGCCTTCCAGGTGCTCTCAGCAAGGACCATGGCTCCTTATCTCAGCTGTCACACAATCAGCAAACATCTCTCCCATGATACTGTTTAATTAGCCCACAGGCAGAGCAGCCACACAGCTCCACATCCCAAGAACAGCCAGCCCCACATGCCCTTGAGCATCCCATGAGTGCATCCCTCCAACAGCCCAACAGCACAGACACCTTCTGGGCTGGCAGACCTGGGCACTCAGAGCACTTTGGCTGCTGCCTGCTTGCACAGCACTTACAGGATAAGCACAATCCCCAGACCCGTCCAGTAAAACCAACACATTTTAGGCTGGAGTCACAATATCAGCCATCTTGCACACAGACTGCCGTGCCCTGCCCAAAGCTGTCCGTGCAGATTTTCTGGCAACCCTTGTCACAGCTCAGTGCTCACGTTCAGCTCTCGTCAGCATAGCAGCCGTCTCTGTACGCTGCACATCAGAAAATGAATTCTGAAAGAGAATACTTGTTTTTAATATTTACTGTCCCGGTTCTTCTTAATTTATCTCTGCCTTCAGACACACTCTCACGGAGTTCAGATTTATTTCCCTGACCCATTTCTCGATCGAAAGGCAAATGCTTCCTCTCCTAATGACACCTCACTGAAGTTTTCAGGCACAACCTCTCCTCACCCTCCAGCTCCTCCTAGCAGCATTAACTCCGTGGAGCAGTTTTCTTGGGCAGACACTATCACTGCTGCACCTAACAAGGATTTCTGCCATGGAAGCAATGCATTCTCAGTCACAATGCAAAACAAAGTTTGGGGATACAGTTTCTGTGGGGCTTTTGCCTTTTCTCCAGGAGGACGCTCACTTCTCTATGATAGAGCTCCAGCACAACTCGAGTCATACCCCAAGAAATTTGCATCACTTGGACATAACTCAGTTTTCTCCTTCCCCTTTATCCCAAATGGCCATACCCCGATGGACAGCAAAGTGCAGTGCCCCACAGCACTGTCCTGGCTGGAAACATCACACTTAGGGCTCTCTTTGAGCTCCATTCCCTTCTTCTCCACAGCTTATAAGCAAGCAGAAAAAAAGAGAGCCAAGCCCTGCTGTCACGTTAACTATTGAGGCCGAAAGGCAGCAGCTCCATAGTGCCCCACACTAATGACATGGGCTGAATGTCTGAGTGGGCTGAATGAGAGGTGTGCAGCCCTCATTAGACCCTCAATGCAGAAAATATGCAGCTGGGTTGCACAGAGAGCTGGCACCCAGAGGGTGTCTGTCAGATGAATGAGCAAATTGCCTCCCGCAGAAATGAAAATAAAAAAAGTTGGGGAGTGAAAAGACAAATACCCAGCACACAAAATAAAACCAGCCCTAGAAAGAGGCAAGATACCGAAGAAGGCCATAAAATAGCCCCCTGAAAATAGTGAAGTAATGGGCTTACGGTTTTATTATTCACATAAAGTTTAGTGACTTCAAGACAGAGGCGAGGCCAAACACGATGTGCAATCCCTGAAAGCCATACCATAACCTGCACCTGTGCACAGATGTTCTGCAGCAGAACCCACTGTCCCACTGCAGGACAGCCCCATGCACCCTGACATCTGACTGTGGCTGGCTTCGTCCAAACCCACATGGGCTCTGGGTTATTTTCCTAGCAATCTTTGAAACTGCCAGAGGAAGCATACAAGCTGGTCTCCTGCAAAACCGTTTGATACCACCTCGAGGTGTAACCAGTTGCAGAAATAAATCAGGATTTCTCTTTAATAAACTGTTTATTACGAGCCTTTCGGAACATAAATCGCAGAAGACAAAGCAGGGGCTGAGTTTAATAAACATCTCATCCTGCCATACTGGCAACCCTGGCACACCATGGAGCCAGGCAGCCCCCATGCCCCGCAGAGCCTCCACACTACAGAGGCCCCGATCTCCTCATTCCAGGGCCAAGGCCACCCCAAGACTGGGGCCAGCTTTCTGCTGAGAGCATGAGTCCCACAAACTGTGGCCAATGGGCCGGGCTGAACTGAGCAGGGCTGCAGGGCAGCACTGATTGTCAGGCACAGAGCGAGGCCTTGCACAGGCCGTGGAGCCCGGCAGGGCGCAGGCGTTGCGTGATTCGGAGCAGCTTGCTTGACAGCTCGCACCATATTGTATTTATAAACACTGAGGAACGTGAAATGCTTCTCCTCTGTACTTCCAAAGGAGCAATCCGCAACACAACAGTCCTGCAGGGTGATCCCAGCGCAAAGCCGGCTCCAATTAAAAAAAGAGGCCCTATTAATTTCAGCGGGGTCGCTCAGGCAAGTAATTGCTTGGGATTCCACGTGGCGTAGGACTGCCCGGAACATCACTCCTGCTGCTACCCAGACCTGCATTCCTAGCATGACGGGACCGATGGCACCTCTGCAGTGTGCCTCCGCAGGAAGGCAATGTGGGGTGACAGGGGCCAGTGGCACCCAGTGCTTGTCACAGGCTGCTGGCTGCCAGGTGCTACTGGGATGTTGGGAGCGGGAGGGCTTGGCTGGGCTGCAGTGGGAAAGGTTTTATCGGCAGCATTACAAAGGTCTCTTAAATTAAGAGGGGATTTTCATCTGTGGGTGGCG